CCGCCTTATCTGTAACCTCGTGTATGTACAAACATTCAGGGGGTGTATTGTACAAACATTCAGGGGGTGTATTGTACAAACATTCAGGGGGTGTATTGTACAAACATTCAGGGGATGTATTGTAAAACCTCTCGGCCATCTGTGAACATCGAGCATCATCTACGTTCTAGTGCGAATTAATGCTTTGCTGCAATCCGGCTGGTTGGCCGGCCGCCACAGTGGGCGATATAATTTTCGGCCCCGAACTAATCTGACGTTCGACCCGCCCAAGCCCAGTCTTGTTTCTAGTAAGATACCTTGCTAAACCCCAGTAACCCACCCTCGGTACCCACCCCCGGTAACCCACCCCCGGTAACCCACCCCCGACTCCCACCCCCGGCATCCGACCCCGGTAAACCAACCCCGGTACCCAACCCCCGGCGTGGCCGCAAGTTGACCGTGTTTATTAGGCACCAGCCATTCTCGAACCTGTTGATTTACAGAACGCCAAAGCCCTCCATTTTTGGATTCAACGGCCTGGCGAGGCAGGTTTCTAGGGCAAGGATGGACAACGCGATCGTGGATCTAGTCTGAGGGATTGTGTGAAGTAATCAAACGGAAACTAGGACCCAAACAGCAAGAGGAGAAAAAAGAAAAAGCATTGATCTATCAAAACCACTATACGAGAAAAGCAACAGCGTATTCACGTTCAACATCCACAATACCATAAACTGGAATAGGCGGTCTCCTCTTCATTGGTGGCATGACGAGCTAACTACTGTACATTCCGCGCAAACATTCCCAAAACAAGAATCGGATACGACTCAAGCCTTCCGGCAGAAGAAGTTGTTGCCCTTAGTCTTGAAATGGGGACTTGGCGCTTGATTGGGTCGACGAGGGGGAGGGACTCTCGACCGAGGACTTTGTCTTTGGCTAGGAGATGCAGCCCTGGACCTAGGGGACGCAGCCCTGGACTGAGGTGAGGCAGTTGAAGGCCCAGGCTGAGGCTCTTGGGCACTGGGGGGGGTGCTGGCTGGAGTGCGGGCCCTTGGAGATGCACTTTTGGTGGGAGACCGTGATGACTGATTTTCAGTGCTGGACGGAGAGGTGCGAGGTGTGCTGACGGTGCTGTTAAGCCTCGAGGTGCCAGAAGTCCTACGAGATGTAGGAGAACCTGCAGATGACACAGAAGTCTTCGTGGGAGTTCTCGGCACGGCTGGAGGAGAAGATACAGCTGCGGCCCGGGAAGAGGGGACGGAAGTGGGCGACGATCGGGATTGTGAGGAAGTGGTCTGTCGCGCCGTGGTGGCCGGCATCCGCGACGGCGAATTCCTCGACGGCCGAGCGAGATTTGCTGGCGCACGAGAAGTCGAAGGATTGGAACTCTTCACGGCAGTACTCGACGACCGCAGTGACGCGGTCGTCCGTTGCGTCGCGAGTGACGACGAGCCCCCAGGGCGAGTGCTCGCTGACGGACCACGGCCCGGACTCCTCTGGCGGGAATCAGATTGCGCTGCCTGCGACGTGGCTGGTCGATGCTGGGAGCTCGCCGACAATGAGTGAGCCTGCGATTCAAGCTCACTTGAATGGCTGAAGCGGGCCCTCTTCGCACCACCCTTATGAGGGGTTATGTTGCGATCAGCAGCTGTGGCCTTGCCCTTGGTCTTTCTGCTGCTGTGACCGATGCCGGAAGCGACAGGGCGGCCGCCAGGGTGCAAATCCATTGGCTCGACAGAAGCTGCAAAAGACTCGGGAGCCTTTCCCTTGCACTTGTCCGATGAAGCGTGAGAGACGCTGTCAGAGAATAAGTCAATTGGGGAAGATGCCGGGCCTTCAGCTGCTGATGATTCCCCAGCAGGAGAATTCTTCGCGGCTTCCTCTTTGCGCTTATCAGATGCCCACCGCGGCTCCAGGCCAGCGAACCCCAGACACTTCTGCATCATGTCATATCGCTTCATGTCAGGACAGACAGAGCACCATGCTGTGTGAGGCCCACCACAGTTTGGACATTCAATGACTTCGGACTTGCAATCCCGAGACTCGTGTTCATCTGAGGAACAGCGTCCACAGCGTGGAGCTACAGACGAGCAGTCTTTCTTCATGTGGCCAGGCTCCGCACAGTGGAAGCAGAAACTCCACACCGATCGAATGTCGATGGCGCTTCACGTTTTGTTAGCAATGTCACACCTCGAAGGCATCGGAACTTACCGAACATCCGCTCTGCAGTAGTCAATTTGGAAGTCATTCATTGCAGATTCATACCCAGATAACAACCGCCATGCGGTCTCCTTATCGCCAAGCTGAAGGATGAATCGCGAGCCCTTCATCATGCACTTGTTCGATGTCCCAAACTTGATGTCATAGGCCTCGAACATAAGCTCATAATTAACCGAATTTTGGACTGAGGCGAGCCTGTCAGTAGTATTCATGAAAGGGAAAGAAATGAGACAACATACCGTCTCTGTGAATCCTTTTGCCGTGAAAAATGATCTCAACGTAGTACGTTTCTGGGAAGTACTCGAAGGTTGTGACATCAGTACCCAGCGCCCGCGCCATGGAATCCGGGTCAGGCTGAAATGTCATGGCGTCGTTGATGTTTTTGTAGACAAAGTAGACCGCGCCGTGACGGATGTAGATGCGACGGACCAGTCCCCACTCTGGACGCTCTTTCTCTAACATTTTCATGGCCGATGTCCTGTCGGAGTCGAGTTGACGAATTGCTTGGGTTGGCGCTAGGATCGTTCGCTTCACGAGTTCCGGTGCGTAGTTGGCCAACGGGTCTGGGGTGGAAGGCTGGGATGACTGAACTCCAAGGTCCATTTGCTTTTGCATCATGAGCTCTAGCTTGGTCAATTTGAACAACATCTTGTCCGCGTCTTTGTCGCTGCTGTTGCGGGCCTGTCTGGTCGTCTTGTAATTGGTCGTCCTTGGTTTCGATCTATTAGCGTTGGCCGTCGTCCTGGATGGCGAGGCATCATCAGCATTCGACGGTGATAAACCACCGGCATTGGGTGACGACGGGCTGCCGGAATGGGGTGGTGGTGGGCCGCCGGCATTGGGTGACGATGGGCTGCCGGAATGGGATGGTGATGAACCTCCGGCGTATGATGACGATGGATTGGTGGCGTTGAATGGGGATGAACTGCTGGCATTTGAAGGTGCTATTTTGCTGGTGCTCGACGGCGGTAGGTTGCTTGCATTGGATGGCGATGTGTTGCTGGCGTTCAAGAATACCTCGCTGGAATAGGACTGTGTGTCGTTGATGTTGCCGTGGTTGTTGGATGATAGCTGCAATGTGACAGGAACTGGCGGCAAGCGAGTGTTGGGCGCAGTTGGCCATGTTGACAATGGGATTGCCACCGCTGGTGTTGGCGGTGATGGAAAGTACTCAGGCGCCGTGGGTTGAAGAGAATGTGGCCTGGTACCAATAGGATCCTGAGAAGAAACGAACCCCGCCGAGGAATCTATGTCCATCATGGTTGACCCATAACCCCATTCCCCATCGCCTGTGGACATACCAGACGCATTGTTCTCGGGAGAGAACAGAGATGGACCGTCTTGGTACCCATGTGCAACAGTAGACTCGAAAATGGCTTGTTGGTCATTGGAGTAACCAAAACTTTCATCGAGATCGTTCTGCGCAGACGGTGTCACGAACTGAGGTTGCGATGGTGTCTGGAATACGCCATGAGGATGCTGCTGGCCTGGGGACCAGTGAGAGTATTGGCTCATATTTGCCGCATGGAGGTGTAAAAAAACGGCTGCAAAACGAGGCCAAGATGCGATGTTAGCAGGAGGAGAAGTTGGTGATATTGAGTGAATGAATCAGTGCCGGAGTCGGCGACGATTTATATTAGATGAGAGGTGGCCGTAACACCATTTCAATCAGTAAAGCCTCCGGTGGTCTGAAGATGATTCGAATCAATAACGCTCTGACCGGAGGCGATGGCATGTCCAGTACCGAGGCCACCAAGAAGGTCACCTATTGCGTAAAAGGGCGAAGGGAAAAAGAGGAGAGACAAAAGTGACCAATAAAAAAAAGAATCAAGACGAAGGGGGAAAAACGGACTAAGGAAAGGAAAAAGAAGGCATGGCTTCAACAGATTTCCCCAGGCAGACAAGGCCCTGCAAAGCCCGAAGAGGAAATACCGGCTTCATGGCCACTGCGTCGGCACACCATTTACACGGATCACTTTTACTGATCTGTCGCGGTGTTCATTATGAGTTTATCTATAAAGCTTTTCATTATGATTTTACCTATGATGGTGTAGATGGATCATGTGCATGGGCAGAGGAAAGACCTCCGGCTGCTTCTTTCGCTTTATTACACGCCTTCCACACCTCCCATCACAGGCCATTCCTTCCTCTGCTCTGCTATCTTTCCTCTGGACACAGATCCGCCAGGACAGCTCTTGCCGTTGGTCTTATTCTTTCGTATCAAGCTTCTCACACCGTGCTTTCTTTCCTCCTGGCTCTGGATGCCGCGCCTGGCTGCTTCGGATACATAACTCGTGCCTAGCTCACAACCCAACGGCGTCACGACCCTCATTGTATTCTCCCCGCACCGTGCCCACCCAGGCCAGTCTGTCATTGTCAAGGGTCGTTGGGCCTGCCTGCAGCTTTCACCATCCGTGCGCCGCCCCCGGTCCCCGGTACCCAAGGCCCCACTCGCGGCCCAGGGGTCCGGGACGACCGGAGGTTGTGGCTTGCTGCAGTGGATCCCTGTCCGTTTTTGGTCACCGTCCGCCTTTGGCCAACCCACCCAGGGGGCCAGTCACCGTGAGTCGCCATCTCTTTCTTTTTTTTGTCTTGGGAGGCTTTTGTTTCACACTACATCTCGACACCCCCCCGTATGGCTTGCGTGAGGCGGGACAGGCGCAACTGGCAGGGCAAGCGCAGGGGCAGCCATCAATCACATGAACCGAATGTCGAGAAGGGGCTGTGGAACAAGAACCTTCTCCCTCTTCCGTTTGGCCAGGGTCACTGACGTCTTTTCCCCGTCGCACAGTTCGCGATAAGCCATGACGCGAGTCCTGCCCCCGACCCGGACTTTCGTCCATCCAGCTACCCGCCACAGCGGAAGAAAGCAGTCACAACGTCCCGTAAGTCACGCCTGGCTCTGAACAAGTATCACAATATCTGATGATCACCAGATCTCATATCCCGTCCTCAACTCGGTGCTTCCCCAGCGCCCAGATTCATCGACCGACGACGTGATTGAGGCCGTCCTTAGGGACCAGCAAGCGACCCCAGATCTCGATGACCGCCTCGGCTTTTTGCAGGCGAACGTCAACAAGAACTGGGATCGCCTCAATGACCTGTTTGAGCATGTCAAGTCGTTGGACCGCGCCCCTGCCTTCATTGCCATCCAGGACCCTCCCTACGACTTTGCCACGGATTCGAAGAGAGAACGCGCCGGCTATTGGTGTGAGGCTCAACATGGCTGGCCGAAACTCAACTCCAAGGACGAGGTCGAGCTGGAGAACAACGTGCCAGTGCTAGCCTCGAGCCGCGTCGCCTTCTATGTGCACAAGTCTTTGGCTTTGGCGTCATGGTCCGTCGAGTGGGACAGAGGTGCCAACGAGCACTATGTTGCGTCTCTATCCCTCGACTTGGTCGGCGGCGACAGGATCAAAGTCTTCAACGCCTACAATCGCACCCGCAATACCATCGCATTCAACCTTCTCCTCCGCGAAGCTGTCGCCGACTATTGCATTCTTTTGGGCGACTTCAATCTTCGTCATCGGGCCTGGAGCGACCGACATATTTCTGATAGGGCCACGAAGCAGCTGGAGATCGAGACTCGACTTGCCGGAATGCGTTGTCTTCTGAAGCCAAAGGACTTCACGTTCAAGCGAGGAGAGACGCAGACCACCATCGATCTAGTTTTTCTCGGTGAAAGGCTTAAGGACCTCTGCGAGCTTTTTCACGTCGCGAGGCCGCGTGGTTTTACCACGGACCACGCAGTACTCGAGACAGTCCTCAACGTGTCGCCCGATCGGGACCACACCCCGGTCCTCCAGATTGACAAGGCAGACCCCGACGTTGTCCGGTCAGAGATGGCCACTCGTCTCCTTGCCAAATTCGGCGATCCATCTCACCTGCGTCAGCATCAACTGTCCACCACCGACAAGCTCGACCAGTTCGCCAAAGCCTTTGTCGTGTCCGCCAAGGCCGCGATCGATGCCACCATTCCCACCATCATCCGCAACCCCGTTGGCCAGAAGCCTCCAGTGCGAACACGCGTGGTCCAAGAGAGACTCTTGCGCGAGGAACACGCACTTCGAGTCCTTTACAGGCAGAAAAGGGGGACTCAAGCCCACAACTACGCCTACGCGGTATGGCTGGACGCCGTCAAGCAGACCAACCGTTTTATGCGTATCGCCAGCAACGTCAGGAAGCGTACCCGAAGCGCTGAGCAAGCCAAAGACCTCTCGAGCCTTTTTGCTATGGCAAGATCGGCTCGCTTCTACGGCAAGATCAGGGCCTCACCTCACATGCCATGGCTCAAGAAGCCTGACGGCACAGCCTGCGCAAGCTCCGAGGAGAACGCTCGCTGTTTTCGCGACGCGATGTGGTCCGACACAAGCGAAGAGCGCCTGGCTCCTACAGAGTTGCCACCTACCCTGGTGCGATCTCGTGCTTCAGCTGCATCGGGCCACGCTCTGTCGACTCCTTCACGGAAAAAGTCAAAGCCGAAGAAGAAGAAGACCCGAAAGGATAAGGAGACTACAGTTTGCCCACCTGGGCAAGACGGTTCTTCGTCTACAGAACCTCCAGCTGATATTGCGCCCAGCTCTGGTTCCCCCACATCCAGCGTCGCTACCTCCACTTCCTCTGATGGCTCTATACCAGCATTGGCATCAACAAGATCCATATGTTCCGTCCGCGCATCGCCTGGCTCACTCAGTTCGTGCAGTCATCCTGTGACTCAGCCATCCGGCCCTATCGCTTCGGCCGAGCAGACTAGTTTGTCTAGTCTGCCAACAACACCCTCCGCTACTTGCACGGCCTCATCGAGCCCATCTCCCGCCAGTCAGCCTGCCCTAGTTGCCGCTGCTGGCCCTGGCTCTCCGAGCCCATCTCCCGCCAGTCAGCCTTGTTCGGCTACGATACCGGAATCCATCAGATCGTCCCCATCATTCAGTGCTATTGGATCACGGCCTGGATCATGCGATGGAACCCGGAACGGCGCCCGCCCTCTTGGTTCTCGCCATCCTTTGTCAACCACGCGTTCGAAGTCTCGGTCAAGGTCTCCATCTAGGACTGACGAGATATCGAGCAGCAACGAGGCAGGATCGTCAAGAGCGGTCAACGATTCTACTAACACTCAATCACCTGAGCCTGCATCACTGGCTGGCCTCCTTGGTGATACTGTCTTGGGTAGAAAGCCGGACCGTAACAATAGCTTCCAGAAAGCCGCCTTGTTACGCGCATTGGCAAAAGAAGGACCCCCAAAGGTTGATGAAGATACAGTGTCCCGTATCATTCGGAAGCTTCCCAGCCGCAAGGCAGCTGGCCCAGACGGTGTTCCAAGTGACGTCCTCAAGATGACACTGGACGTCATTTTGCCCTACCTCGTTCATCTCTTCAAGGCTTGTGTCAACCTCAACCACCACCCCGAATGCTTCAAGGAGTCCTACACTGTGGTCTTGAAGAAGGAAGGAAAGCACAACTACACGTTACCGAAAAGTTATCGGCCTATCGCCCTCCTTTCTTGTGTGGGTAAGGCTCTGGAGCGATTGGTTGCGGACGATCTTCAACGCCTCGCACTCAAATACGGCCTCATTCCTCCCACACAGTATGGGTTTGCTGGGAAGAGTTGTACCAAGGCACTAGAGCTGATCGTCAACACCGTCCTCAATGGCTGGTGCGCGACTACGACGGACAAGAAGTGGCGGACTACTCTCTTAGGTCTCGACATTTCGGGTGCCTTCAACCACGTCAACCGTCAGGAATTGATTAAGGTTTTCGCTGAAAAGGGCATACCGCTGTGGGCTTTGCGATTTGTGTGGTCATTCTTGTCGGACCAATGCACTTGTGTCAAGCTTCCAGGACACACCTCGGCGAAGTTTTGGGTCAATGTTGGGATTCCCCAGGGAAGCCCCCTCTCGCCCATCCTTTTTGCGTTGTTTGCCGCTCCCATCCTGGATATCCTGCAGCGCCAGAATCTGGGCCGGAGCCGAATCCTTCTTGGCCTTTCTTACGTCGACGACACCTACATCATGGTGTGCACCGATGACTGGGAAAAGAACTGTCGCATTTTGGAGGAGTGTCACCAGAAGATTGTGGACTGGGCCACTCCTCGTGGTCTCCGCTTCGATCCTGCGAAGTACAACGTCATGCACTTTCGCAAGCCCCACGGCGATTTGAACGCAGCGTCTGCGCCCCAGAATATCCCCAACCTACCATTTCTGACGGAGGAAAACCTGGTGAAAGAGACGGACGAAGGTGGCCTTCGTATTCTTGGCGTTCAGGTCGACCATCAGTTGACTTGGAAATGGCAAATCGACCAGGTAAGTTTCCCTTCATGACCACTTGAGATGTTCTAACAATTACAAACAGATTGAGGAGAAGGTCCGCAAGAAGCTGAACCAGCTGAAGCGCATGTCGACATCTGTCTCGGGGCCGAATCTCCTTCACATGAGGCAGCTGTACCTCTCTACCATCCGTCCCATTATCTCCTATGCCTGCCCTGCCTGGTTCATGCTTGGCAACGACTCCTCCACGACCTATAACTTTCGACAACCCTACATCCATCGCCTGGACAATCTTCAGAACGAATGCTTGGTCACTGTCGCCGGTGCCTACAAGAAGGCGCCCACCGTCCCGCTCCACAAGGAGCTTCACGTTGACCCAATCGCCGTCTACTTGCAGCGAGTCGCCATGTCACACCGCGCCCGCAATATTTTCACCGATGACTACGACCTCATCAACACCACTTCGTTCCCATTCAAGAGAGAAATGACGTTCTTGAAGTCCCATCCATACAAGATCGATTACGACCACGCCAGGGAACTCGTCGAGGAGGCGGAGCAGCAGCTTCGGGAGTCGAAGCCTGGCCTCGCCGACGCCACTCTGATTGACATGGATCCTCGCAAGAGGAGTCAAGTCGTCAACCGGTACATCCGCGAACAAGCGACGCTCCTCAGTGAGCATCTTTGGAAGGCATATCGCGACCGTCCACGGCCGTCTCGCACGGTCGCCTACGGCCTCAGAGGCCGCCCTGTTGCCGCTGAGGGAAAATGGGGCGCTTTCAACCTCAAGCGGTTCAAGGGCCTGTCTCGGGCGCAGTCCTCCATTCTGATCCAGTGCAGGACTGGCTACATTGGCCTCAAGGCCTTCCTGCACCCGAAGAACGTAAGTTCAATGCCACATCCACATTCGTCATTACCCTTCCACACTGTTAGGCATCTGGTCCTCTCAGCCCACGTACCTTTCGCTTTGCACCGACTTTGCGTTCTTTTTCATCCATGACTACCGGTTGCTAACTTCTCCGTGCCAGCTTGCCGACACAGACATGTGTTCTTGCGGTCAAGATGAGCACACTGTTGAACATCTCATCTTCGACTGCCCCTCTCTAGCCAGTGCTAGAAGGAATCTTCCCATTTGGAAGTGGAGAATTTCTCGGTATCACGCCCACACCAGGCAGCGACGCTCCCTGGATGATTTGCTCACCGACTTCTCCCGTGCGGTCTCGACCTGGGCCATTCACCACTTTGGTCTTGACCAGTTTGCCTGGACGGACCAACACATGATTCACGGACCATCGAAGAAACACTCGCACTTTCACTGTGAAGTGACATAGTGTATTGAAGTGTACTTTTTGGGTGTGTCTCCTCTTTCTTGTCTCCACGCTATGATGCTGACGTGTTCTCGTTCAAGAAACTCTGCCAGCACGCAGGCTACCCTTGCAATCCCCCCCCCCTTTTCCCTTCTCCCTTCGCTTCTCGTGAGTACTGTGTCAACCTCGCGGTGCAATCTGCAAGCCATGCTGACTTTAGTTGGCTCCCCCAGTCGGCTTCAATAGTCGGGGAGGATCACGGCGATCGCCGCGATTACCTCATTCTTGTATTCTTCGTAGTGAGTTGTCCTTTTCTACCTGTCAGAACAAAGAGCTAATCATTCAACAAGTTTATCCAGCTCGTTGAGCTCCTCCCGAACCTCTCTCATTTGCTCGTTATGTCTGAGCTTCCTGTGGAGTTTTCGCCAGTCCTTTTGGTGCTCCTTGATGCCTCGGACCTCGCCAGATTGGGAGAGGAGGCATGCCGCGATTCGACAGATGAGTATGTTGATTCTAAGACGCAGTAATATAATGGGCTTTCCTAATATTAACTGAATTGATTTAGATATTTGGTGGTGGTACTTATCCCTAGACTTATCTAGGGATCTGATATCAGGGCTTATGTTGTTGATGGCGACTCGGACGCGTCGTTTATGCTTTTTCGCAAGAGCGATGAAGTTGACCTTCTCTTTCGTCTTCCAGTTTGTTGATGTGAGTAACTTGTTCCCCTTTATTACACTGCAGATAACTGACGTTTTGCGTAGTTGGTGACGAGTATCTTGACTAGTTTAATCATGATGAGTTGATCTTGTCAGGGATGGTTGATGGGTAGAGGAAGGTATGAAGTTTGCGCTTTCTAGTGACTAAATCTCAGACAGCTAACCTAACCCGAAGAACAGACCCATGTTCTTCCTCCTATATAACCTCATACAGTGAGTCATCTGCAGGCCATTGAGGTTATTGACAATGTGAGACTCTCCTCTCAGCTATTGTGTACATGCGCTAACATTTGAAGATTCTTGCGAACCTGGATCGAAGCTTTCCTGGTTATCATAAACAGCATCACGATGCTTAGTAGGCATCTATCAAAGTATAAACAGAATTTTCATAGTGTGGCGTAAACCTCCACAAATTGGATGTGGCTGGGCTCAAAGGGTAGAAGATGAAAATATGACTACTACATAACCTACTCTGAAGTTTCCCTAATGGTTATGACGTAAGTGACAGGAGTTGAGAGGAGAGGAGAGGATTCTGTCTCTGTCCCAATGCCGAAGTTTGAGGGTGTCCCAAAAGGTCCTCATCGCCCTTTACTTGGGGTCTGACTCATGTCGGTAGGCCAGAGTTTGGGCGAAGCTGGTGGCCTTTTCTGCCCTCCTTATCGGTCAGGCAGACATGCACGGGGTACAAATAAGTAGCATCCCATCTGCACTCAGTCCATCTGTCACCCATCTCATCGGGGAGCTCTCATCCTCCTTGCCGACCCCGTCGCATCACAATGCCCCCCCAACCCCGGTTTCTTTCTCTTCCTCGCGAGATTCGAGACATTATCTACAAGTTTTACGTAGTTGCAGAAGGCGGATACACCTGCAACCCTGAAAAGCTTGTGGAAAAAATACTGAACCAGTACAGCGATGAAACCGACTCCGCCAGCCTCGATGTCTCTGGCATATTGCAGAGAGCTGATCTTCAGCCCATCGATCTGAACCTGAGCTACACTTGCAAGCTTGTGGCGCAAGAAATGAGCGGTGTCGCCCTACGAACCAACACAGTCACTTTCTCGACATTCACTTCGGCTGAGCTTCGCATCCTCGCCGCCCGTTTTCACAGCTTGATGGTGGGACGCTTCGACGGCGACCGAAGGGGATTGCTGAAGTTCGCTGGTCACGCTATTTCAGCCGAGGCATGTCGGCAGCTTAAGGCCAAATTCCCTCAATTCAGCCAGCTTCTTGATCGAATGGTGCGAAAAGGCAGAGCGCATCACACGTGGGGGGCGTATGGCGAGGTGCCCTCAGTCTACCGTGCTTTCCAGAAAGACGCACTCTTGGCCATCGCTCGATCTGAAACCGGCCGTAAACGGCTTGATCGCTACTGGTATGAGAATCACGAGAGGTGGGCTTCCCACATACCTTCGCTTCTCGTGGTCCGCTGCAATATCGAGCACTGGGCTATCCCGTCCATGCAAGACATGCAGTATTTGAGTTCCTGTCAGATGGAAGATTCGGACTTTGTGTCAATGGTCACACGCCTCCGGGACCGTACAAACTACCGCTTCTCGGCCGCAGCAGCTGCAATTCACGTTCTGCAGTCTCTGCCTCCTAGCATACGCAAGCAACTGCGCCGCGTGGTTCTGGAAGAAGATCGGGAAGCGGTGGCGGATCCACAGTGTCACGCATTGGGGTTGATTCCGTTGTGCCAAGAGAACCCTCTGCTTCGCGTGGAACGTCGGGTCAACTTGTGGAGGAATGCATTCCAGCGCGACGGATATTATCGTTGGTCCCCGGAGTCGCGGTACAAAGCCAAGTGCCGTCACGTGTCCTGGGCTATGGATTCAAACCGTGAGACGCTCTGGGCTATGGATTCGGCGCAGGTCACGGCGAACGTCTCCAGCTGGGTTGGAGAAGCCTTGGCCCTCGAACCCGCAGGCATGCCTCCAGGGGCATTCTCGCTGGTTTTGGATGGCGAGCCCGTTCCCTGGCAAAGCACGCAAGTTTTCCAACGGATTATCCAGCGAGATGCGGCTTGGCAGGAAGCATGGAATCAATCTCTCGACCGTGGTATTCTTCCAGCCTTGTCCTGGTTTGGCAGGAAAGGAGAGTCATGCGGTCACCCTGCGCCTGACTGGGCCTTCGACAACTGGCCGCAAGCTCTAAGAGATATTGCAGAGGGCACCTCCGTCGTGAAATGCAACTTCGACGTCGGAGATCCGTGGAGCGTTGAGCAGATTGTCGACGAACACCGGGGATGGACGATGAATCAGTGGACGGAGGAGCTGGAAAGGCCCGACCCGTTGGCCTGGGAGCCTGATGCCCCGTTGCCCGGCTGGAAGGAAATCATAGAGGAGGACCTCGTTTACGTGGAGCCCGAGGATGATGTGTCGTCTACAAACTCTGATGACGAGACGTACTCCGACGAGGATGATAGTTAAGGAGGCTTTCCAAGTTTGTCCCAGCTCTACGAGTGCCACCTGACGAATTTCTTGTTTTCATAATTCGGTAGCTAATTCATCTCAAGACTAAGGAAAATGTTTGCCGATGTACAAATAATCATCTGAAGTTCAATTGCGCTCACAAATTACGGGCTTAACCATCCACCTCTCCTACCAGTTCGCTACCTTCCCATCAGACCAGTACTCCCCATTTTTTCCTCCAATATCCGCCAGAGCAAGGTGGACAGGCGTTTGCGCGCCTTGATCAGGCGTCTTGGTCCCCTTGCCTCTCGTCATGGATGTCACCACCCATCCCGGATGACACGAGTTGGCCAAAATCTTGCTGCCACTGTCCTCCAGCTCTTTCGCGATCGCCCTTGTCATCCCAATCTCGCCGGCCTTGGACACAGCGTACGCCGCGCTCGGCCACCCTTCCTGCTCATGATTGCCCTTCTCAACGGCGGCGGAGAAGTCCTCCATCAATCTGGTGACATCCGACACCGTCTGCGAAGCCAGGAAGCGCTCCTTGATCCTGGGAGAGTACTTGCTCAGGGACCCGGCCACGGACGCGACGTTGATGATCCGGCCTTGGGGCTTGAGGATGGGGACCCAGGCTCGTGTTGCGTTGAGGGTGCCGTAGTAGTTGCAGCCTATCGTGGTCTTGACCACGTTTGAGTCTAGATGTCATTAGTTAGCCGGGAGGGTTGTGAGATATGTGCCTGACAGGGACCACTCACCGAAACCCTGCATCGCGATGCCGGCATTGTTGATGACGAAGTCGACGCCGTCGGGATGCTCCTTCTTCAAGAACTCCGCCAAGCCCTCGATGCTCTTGGCGTCTGAGATGTCCAGCTGGTGATACTTGATATCGGCGAGGCCGCCGTGCGTGGCCAGGGCTTTGGCCTGCTTAAGGTCTGCATCAGCGCGGATGGCGGCCAAGGCCTCCTCGCCGCGAGATTTGTCGCGGGCCGTCAGGTAGATGAGCAGAGACCCGCTGTTCAAGTGCGATGCTGGGTATTGCAGTGCTAACTGTCGTACTTGTTTGCGGTTGGGAAGAGTCAGTTGGACGATGACGTGATGGACATCAAATAGCTTGGGGCAGCTCACCGATTGCGTATCCAATGCCCTTGTTGGCACCAGTTACCACACCGACACGAGCGTAGGACATTTTGAGTCGAGCGGATTATTGTAAGTCTTGATGGACAGTGTTTTGGTGAAATTCGTGATTCTTGATGGCTTCACTCAGAAGAGCAGGCACTGGTGTTTTGGACCTCGAGGTCAAAACGGGACCAAGCGCAGGAGGCAAACGAGCTCTTCAGTGGACCCGATCCAGTGGTGATTCATGGTGGTGGATGCCACAGTGGCTTGAATCCCACTAAACAGGTGGCGCCGTCCCAAAGATGGTTCGTCTCTTGTTCTTTCTCATCCACGACTTACCTCATCATATTCCACGGCATTGCAATTTGGGGAGTTGTCTTATGTTTGGAGTCCAACTATGAGCGATTATTTCTTACCCTATGTAAGCGGATGCAATGAATACGCCCCATCCACGGCCCGACACCGATTGACCCCTTGTTCGGTCGAACAAACGCCCGGGTGGAAGCCACAGAAACTCAATTCCGCCAGCTTCTTGGGTGCCTAACCGCGGGAGAACAACCTCATGGTTCTGGACCAAACAACATGTAGTAACACTGAAGAGGAAGCTACATAGTACATTTGATTCTGCCGCGTTCTTCGCACCGATCACCAATTACCGAGCCGGACTCTGTCAGCGATGGAGTCACCCAGCGTTCACTGCCCAATAAGACTCGCTGCCGGGGGAATCGCGAGGATATCGCTTGTAGATAGCGTGACGTAGAGGCGATTGTGACTTGGGTCC